CAAGGCTGAGACTGATAGATTTTTAAAAAATAGAGGGATTAGGGGATATGGGGATATGGCAGGTAATTAGAGTTAGGTCAGAAGATCAGCCATGATCTTATCGAATCGCGGGGCAGGCTCGCGGGGCCAAATGGCCTACTCCTGCTCCTATTTTGTTCTTATGACTCGCCTTTATCATGATCTCATCCTCAACAAGATCGAAACACTCAATCACACCTTGTCACCTTGAGATTTGATCTCTCAATGGCTTTTATTCGATGGCCTCACTTGATCTGACCTCCATAAGCATAGCTCATTCAGAACTCCGCAGTCTGTATCCTCTTCCCCAACTATGTTCTGGGTGTCTCTCCTTCCCAGAATCCACTGGCTTCTTGTTCTCTTGATGTCAAGATGCTTCTGACTTTCAAATCCTCTGTACTCTTCCTCCTCACTGTCTCTCCAGCCTCGCTCTTCCGCACACTCCAATTGCTCTGCAACCTGGGATCTTTTCATGTCCCTTGTCCTCTTTATCCATTAATGTTGAATAATTTTCAGCCATTATCCTTCAGGCTTTTACCATGTGCTCTGTTTCCCTATTTTAAAAAACCTTTCTAAAGAGCTTTCTCTTCAACTGTGTTTTGTCACATTTCTACCTTCCTTGGGGATTTACACTGTCCCTGTTAATCACTTCAATACATTACGCTGCATGAAAGGCACACTACTTTATAGTGCAAGTTATTGTCATTCTCCCAAGTCAAGCAGCATTTGTCATTTGTCAGGGGATTTGAAGGTGGTTTGTAACTTATAGTCTACATAGGTTCTAAGCTGTAATGAATTTTAACTTTTGCTAAACAAAAATAGAAACAGAAAGTTGCTGCACAGTAGGAGCTATTCTGGGTATCATGTTGCATTTATTTTACTGAATTACATTTTTAAAATTAATCCAGTTGTGTTCTCTCTCTATGACGAGGAATCCCTCTAGCTCTTTGTCCTCTCTGCTAAGTTGGATACTGTTGATCACTCCATCTTCCTCTCATCCCTCATCCACTGTGGTGCAATAGGACCACATTCTCTTGGTTCCAAACTTACCTGACAAACCACCTCCACTTCATCTCCTCAAAGGATTTCTCCTTTTGTCCTTCCATGATCACCTATGAATAACTTCAGGGATCCATCGATGATTCCATCCTCATCTACAAGCTCCTTCTTGGTGACGTAATCTATAGACACGGAATTAACTTCCACAAGTATGTGGATGAACTGCCAATGTCACCTCACTTTTGTCGCTGACCTGTTCAAGTTCACTGAATTTTGCTATCTGGTCCAAATCTCAGCTCTTCTGTTCTCTTTCACATTCAATCTCTGACCAAGACTGCTTTTCTCTACCTCTGTCGCATTGCCTGCTTCCACCAATTATACTGCTGAAACCCTGACGCACACCTTGAATAACTCCCACCTGGACTTTTCTAATGTACTCTTGACTAGCCTCCATAGCTATAAGCTCCAACTGATCCAAAACTCTGCTTATCCCCCTCATTTCTGGAATACTCTTCCTCCACCCTTCTGCCTCACTCTCCATCTCTTAAAATCTATCTCCCGTCTTAAAATCTACCTATTCAACCGTACCTGTGGTCTCCACCTCCTCCCACTTCTCCCTTGCTCGTCATCTAATCCACTTGTTTTAAAACTCTCCGAGACATTATCCGATGTGAAGAGTGCAAGTTGTTGTTCTTACAACTAAGGTGCTTGTCGACTTCCCTTTTGAACGATTCAAATTTTTTTTTTTGAATGATCCCACCCGCTCTACCATTGGCGGGAGAGCCGTCAGCCAACCTCTGGAATTCCATCCCCTAGTCACTCTGCCTCGCTTCCTCCTTAGCCTCCTTCAAGTCCCGCCTCAAGACCCTCCTCTTCAACCATGCCATCGGCCACCTCCCTTACCCCCCCAACCCCAGCTCGGGTCTGAAATGCTGTACTCTCTCCAGCCCCTTGGGACATCCTCCTGACTTGAAAGGCGCAATACAAATGTAATCTTCTTGTTGTTGTTGATTCAGGCTTACAAGGAGGCTCCCTCTGCCTCCTCATCCTCCTTGACCTCTCTGTTGCCTTCGACACCGTTGACCACTCTATTCTCATCCACCGCCTCTCCTCTCATCTCAACCTTCATGACTCTGTCCTTGAATGGTTCAGAACGTACCTCTCACACCGCCCCCACTTCATCTCAACAAAAGGTTTCTCCTCTAGCCCTGCACGGTCTCATGCAGCGTTCTTCAGGGCTCAGTCCTTAGTCCCCTCCTCTTCAATATCTATATCTAACAGTACTCCCTCTTGGTGACATCATCCGCAAACATGGGGTCAACTTCCAAATGTATGTGAATGACACCCAACTGTACTGCTTTGCTTCCACTCTTAACTCCAGGACCACTGATGACTTGACAGAATGTCTGTCAGACATCAAGTGCTGGATGAGAGCTAACTTTGTTCAGTTGAATGTCAACAAGACAGAGGCCCTCCTGATTGGCTCCTGTCAGTGCCTCCACGCTTCAGGCGTGGACAGCATCACCATCCATGGATGCACACTCCACCTCACTGGTGTCTTGTTTGACTTTCAACTATCCTTTCTACCCCACGTCCGTGCCATGACCCGCTCTGCCTTCTCCCACCTCCGCAACATCACCCGGCTCCGCCACTCTCTCACATCGCAGGCTGCCGAAACCCTCATACACTTATTCATAACATCCAGGCTTGACTATGCAAACTCCTCGCTTGTCAACTCTCCAACTCCTCCCTCCACAGGCTGCAGATCAATCCAGAACTCTGCAGCCCTTGTCCTCTCCCGCACCAGGCTCCGTGACCTATCGCCCCCATTCTTGCCCGACTCCAGTGGCTTCCCATCACACAGAGTATACATTTCAAGATCCTGGTCCTCACCTTCAAAGCCCTCCATGGCCTTGCTCCCCCCACTACCTCTGTGACCTCTTAACCCTCTACAATCCTGCTCGCTCCCTCTGCTCAGTGGGCTCTGGCCTGCTTCATGTTCACTGCCTCGCCCACCCCACCATTGGCGAGCGGGCCTTCTGCCACTCTGCCCGCAGCCTCTGGAACTCCATCCCGCAGTCCCTCTGTCCTGTCCCCTCCCGTGCCTCCTTCAAGACCCATCTCAAGACCCTCCTTTTCGACCGTGCTTTCGATCACCCTCCTTACTCACTCCGCCCTCCATCTTCCCCAATCCTGACCCCCAGTTCGGGTCCGAAACACTGACTGTCTAGCGCCTTGGGTGGTCCTCCCGACATGAAAGGCGCTATACAATGTAATTTTGTTTTTATTAGCCACTTTTGTGCTGATGAATTCCATAACCCTCTTTGAGTGAAGGAATTGTTTCTAATTCCTGATTCATCTGCTAGCAATCCTATGACAATGACCCTCCCACCTCACGACCGATTCCCTTACTAAAGGACATAGTATTTCATTTCTATCTCTCCTGTCATGGCTCACTATCCCATAAAATGAGATACTGAATTATAATGGATCTATGAAGAAAAATGGTTACCGTTCCTGTTTCCAGGTTGTCAGAATGCTGCTGACATTTTCAGTACATCTGCAGGAAGCCAGCAGGTTCGTGCTGGAAACCAGAACACTTCTACTGTCTGGGTTCATGGGGATACCTGCGTTCTAAGGGAACACAAAGTGACTTACAATGGTGTTCCCCGTAGGTATACTGTCTTGTATACAATATCTTCTTTGTGAATATGCACCCTATCTTTGTCATCTTTGACTTTCTTTCTGTAATGGGAAGTCCAAAACTGAACACGGTAATCCCAGCTGTGCACTAACCATTTTCCTTTGCAATTCTACACAATTTTCCTACTTTTTGTTTTGTTCCCTTCCAGTTTATAAATCCCAGAAGTACACTGTTCTTGATTCGTTTTTGTATGTACCTCCTATACATTTACTATTTATCTCTTTATACTTCAAAATCCCTATGCTTCTCCACTCCAGTTATTATCATTATTCCACTCATTTTTTTCAAAGTAGTACAGGAGCTCAGATTAACCTGCATAAAACTGCCACTTTTTCGAACATTTCTGTCATATGTCAATGTCTTCCTGAAGTCATTGTGATATCAATTGCAAGGGTTTATGATTACTATGACTCATGAGACAAAAGGGCGAGGACCATAAATCCCCAGAGCATAGAAGAATCAAACCCCCAGATAAAGGTGAAAGGACTATTAAAATAACTTCAAACTATATTGTGTTCATTTTTATAATATGATTTTTAATTCTGGACGGCAAGGATGCATTTGAACTGGAATGGCTAATATCCTTAATGGAGACCTGCATTACCACATGCATGGATCGAGTGAACAACTTTATTTGAAGGATTTGTTGGCCAGGACACCAAGAGAAACTTCTTTCTCTTTTCGAATAGTGTTATGGATTTTTAACGTCCAGCTGGAAAGGCAGATTGGATCTCGGTTTAACATCTCATTTGAAGGATGGCATCTTCGACAATGCAATACACTCCCAGCACTGCATTCGAGTTTCAGCTTAAACTATGATTCCAAGTGCTGACATGGGGCTTGAACTCACAACCTTCTAACTCAGAGGCTGACATACTACCTAGCTAATGCATTTTCCAAATCGTATTCTGCGTATATCCTACCAACCTGACCTCTCCTTTCCTCAGCGAGCATTGACCTTCTTCATGTCCTCACCCAAGCCACCCCACCATTGGTGGATGGGCTTCATCCTTTTTGCCCCCATTCTGAAATTCCATCCTGGAGACCCTCCAAGTAGCTCCTTCCCTTACCTCACTCAACATCCATCTCAAGAATTAACCTGTTTATCATTTTCGTCATCTTTCTCCTTCCTACCCACTTTGCTCTCTCCCCCAGCTCGGCAGCCTAGCCATTACTTTTTAATGAAAGACAAGGGTAAATTTATTTTGTATATTCTAATTTACCCTTGCACTTTAAAAAAAAGTATTTTTAATTCAAATCCTTTTTTCTTTATTTTCAGAAGAAGGATGAGGCAGTCATGCTCAACCACCTGAGGGGATCCACCAGCCCTCTTTATAAATGTTAACTCAATATGACTGACAACAAAACAAGATTGTTTTCTCTGGTGAGTTTTAATAAAAATGTAAACTTGTGATTTGCTGCTTTGCAAATGTTTTCACAATTACCTCATGCTCCACCAGACCAACTCAAAGTGGCATGTAACTAGTTTGGGTAAATATTATTTCTATTCTAATGAGTTGGAAGAATAAAGTGGGGCGTGGGGGGGTGGGGGCGGGGGGTTGGACTTCAGACCTGGCGTCTAATGATTGAGCCTTTTAGATGTGTAATAAGTTTGCATCCATAGTAATGCTAAGCTAACGCAAAATTATAATCTTTAGATACAAATTAGGCTGCAAAATTACGCACTGATGTTGCACTCTGAACCTTGAGTTCAGTCTCTGAGTTTGTTTTTATTGTTTTGGGGAGAAAATGATCTTGTATTAGCTTAATAGAATGAAAACGCAATTGCTCCCAGCTTGGCACCTAGAGATTGTTGAGTGAGTGGAATTGGAAACTTGATAGTAACCAGGATTGATTGCTACCAATAAGTAGAACACTATTACATCTGGTAGGAGCTTGTCTGTCAGCAATGGGATAATTGGATCCAATGTTTCTAGCTTGACCACCTCATCAAATTTTACATATTATGTGTACATTTTGAACCAAAATAGTGTGTACACATAAAAGGCCTTGGATTCATATTACAGCCATGCATATGAACCCTGTTTCTAACCTCATAAAGACAAGGGAGAGAAAGATTGGATACTAGGACTGCCCCAATTATCCACAATGAGGAGGATCTCAGTCTAGATCATCATCTCAACTGTAATAATTTTAATAATATAATAATTATTATTATCACCTATATCCACAGAATTGGAAATTAGAGGTGCAGTCCTCATATTCTAAATCCTCATATTCTGGTGGTCACTGGGACTTCTATCCGATGAACCAAAACTCTACCTTAGCCAAATATTAGTGGTCTAGAGAATGTCTGGAAGTTATGAAAACAGGGGCCACATCCTCTTCTGCACCATTTTCCAATGTAGGTCTATAGTCCTAGGCCGAATGTGTTAATCCTGGTAACTATTGTAGAAAATTTGCTGTTCTCTCCTGTAGATGGTTTATGGTTGCCGCCAGATGAACACATCATAAATAGCTTTGCATTTCTGCACCAGAAATTGTTCAATTAGGATCTGGTTTCAATGATTCTCATACGTGACATGAGCTTGCTCTGACCATAGAAATTAATACTGTATAAGCATAGAGCTGTGAAATCAACCCATGCTCTTCAACTTAATTAAAAAAAGAACCTCTCCAAATATGGAGGTGTCCGCAATGGAATGGAAATAGTGGAGATTTTTTTTTATAAATCACTTTTAAGAGACTTGGCTGAGGTTAGAAATTTGAGTGGAACAGGACTTGAAACTGTGTCTGTCCTACTGTCCTAAAGTGCCTTGTAAAGCATTTCATCACGATTAATTATGTGATACTTTAAACTTTGCGGTGGTTTGTCTTTAGAAGACATTATTTGGATAGTTTTAGAAATCTCTTGCTGTTGAGCATTGAAACCTAAATATGCTGTGTCTTTGGGTGATTAAGTGCAAACTTATGCCTGTGATTACGTTCGTGGAGAGTTACAAAATTAGCTGTGCTGTACACTGCCATACAGAGGAAGAGAGAGGGCAAACTGTTAGATAATGTGACTCTATGTTGCATTGACCGCAGGGCTAGCTTGAGAGTGACATTGGCTGAGGCAATAGGAAACATTGCTCTTTGGCTTTCACAGCCAGGAAGAGTGTTGTCCAACGAGTCCCAAAGGGTAAATAAATGATGAGACCCTGTTTGCATAAGCAAAAAAAAGTGTAATTCTTTTTTTCTGAATTATTTATATAGAGTTTTAAACTGCAGATGTAATTAGTTTGTTGACCTTCCTACTCTCAAACTTTGTATTTTTTAAAAATTGCTTTAAAATGATTAAAAGGCTGTCAATGAATGTTTACTTTTGTCAGTCCTGTTTTGTGTCTATGTAGTTTGCTGATTTGTCAAACTAGCTAACAATCAAAATTAATCCCTGCCTATTTTGGCGAGAAATTTTGCAGTCTATATTGGGTTGGATTCAATATTCTGAAAATTAAATCGGATCTATTCAGATCTAAATCAAATCAGATCAATTTTATCTATTAGCCAATACTTAGAATATTGCAACTCAATCTTAGCATTCTGTTAGTTTTCAGATTAGTTCCAGTTTGCCTATTTTATTAATGAAATAGTACAACCTTTCTATTTTGCAGGTTTTATAAATGTATAAAGATTATTTTGTTATAGTTCAATAAAAAAAAGAATTTGGAGATATAAATTCAGATCAATAGGGAAAATTAATACAATTGGTTTCCTTTAAGTTTTATAAAGATTTTTTAATTACAAATTTAAGTTAATATTGAAGGAATTTAAAGTCTCTCTTAATTTTATACTAGCTCTGTTGTTGGAGCAATGCTATCTATTATTGTTTGAACTTTGCTTTTGTCTGATGAACTCTTTTGAAAATGTTGCACTACAGCTTATTTTCGCTTGTTCAGAGTGCCCTTGACTAAACTGCTGTAACATGTTGATTGAATGCCAAGGCCATAGAACAAGCATTTAATCAGCACAGCAACTGTCAATTGCCCCATGTGTCCTGATATTGCTTTGAAAAAGCAATATTTTTAAAAGCAAACTTGTAATTTATAGTATTATAATTACTTTTTTTTAATTCTAGCTCATAAAATGGTTCTGACCAATAAACATCTCTATGTTACCAATCATTTTAGTAATGTCAATACTATATCTATTATGCTCATGTGGATATGAATCATTAAAAACTCACAAATAAATCATAACTTCAATTACCATTAATAACACTGATTTAGATGGTTTGTCATTGGCATATTGCATTGTTTAAATTCTTGAATTATGTATTCTCTCAGGTTTAGGGTGTATACCATCAGAAAAAAAACAAAGACCTATATTAGACAAAATCTGAAATGTCTATTTGTTTTGTGAAGCCAGATGTGAAGAATTCTCAACAAATCTCCCATTTCTTGATTTTTGTTTTCTCACATAAAATCATTTCTATTATACTGTATTTCATGACTTTAATATGACTCCCATTATTCACTACTGTTTTTTATTACTTAGAAGGGGACAGGATTTGCAGACTGGTTATGCAGTTGTATAGTTTGTCAGAGTGAATCAATTGGTCGTATTTCTCTGGGTCAAAAGGTTGTTGTTTCAAGCCTCAGTGGGATTTTAACTCATTTTCTTGGCTTATGTTCCAGTATTGGGGGTGTGCTACAGTGTTGTCTTTTGGGTGACATTAAAACATAAGAGTAGGTGGACAAGGCTATGGAAATGCAAATAGTCTTTGGCTTTATATCCAGAGGAATAGAGTGTAAAAGTAGGGAGATTGTGTTAAATTTATATAAAACCTTTTATAAGACCATATTTGGAGGATTATGTGCAGTTCTGGCAGCCATTCTACAGGAAGGATACTGTAGCATTGGACAAAGTGAAGATTTGCAAGAATATTACCGAGTAATACGGTATACAGCTATCAAGAAAGATTAGACAGGTTGGAGCTTTTTTCTCTCAAGTTGAATTAAGAGGGGACCTGATGGAGGTATTTAATAATATGAATGAATTTGAAGGTGGACATTAATAGGCTGTTTCCACTTGTTGCTGAGTATAAAACGATGGGGCATTAATGTAAAAGAGCCATTAGCAGATCTAAAATCACAACAACTTGCACTTAGCAGGGTAGCATCTCAGAGCACTTAAAACAAAGTTTAGGAGGAACTGGTGAGTATGTGGAATTCACTGTCAGAAGCTGGGATTGAAGCAAAAAGCATAAACCTATGTTTTAAAAAAAAAAATTCCTAAAGATCATGGAAACAGGCCAATCAGCCTAACCAGTCGGTGTAGGTATTTGTATTCCATACGAGTCTTTACCCACTCACTCACTCCCATACCCTCTATTCCCTTCTTCCTCATATGGAAGTCTAGCTTCCTCTTAAATGCATATATACCAGTGATTCGCAAATCAATTTTTTGGTGGCCTTAGTGTGCGGCCACCAACACATAAAAGTCTGCAGTGTGACATTTTACAAGTTTTACAAATGAAAATGTAGCTTGTGATAACACAGCATTGTAAAAGGGGGTGATAATGCTATGTGGCCCACTGTAAATTTTAATATGGACTTTTCCAGTGTTTTATTGGGTACTAACCTATGTGGGTTTTAATCTGTTTAATTAGTACAACATTCAGAATGTGTATTTTCAGAGCAACTCCATTTCAAAGAGCATAAAGTAAAAATAAGTTTGGAAAATAAATGTGCCTTAATAATACAGTAATTAAAATACAGAAAACATGATTTTGGAGGATGTTACAGCAGTGCTCTGATTTGTTACAATTTATTTTTTGTGATACTTTGGTTGTTTTCTCAGTGCCAGGCAACAAGATTTACTTTTTTGCTGTGCGTTACAGCTTGAGTGATAATAAATGAAAAAAATATTACCTTTTAATGAATTTTAAATAAATCTCCCCCAGAATGTAACTTGACCGGATGACAGAATGCAAACTATTTTGTTTTCATAAAACAAAATAATTTCCATTCTGTTTTTGTTTGTTCCATTGCTGCATTAACTCTGTTAAAACTCGTTTTTTTTGTATTTTAAATATTATGTACTTGAATGCTGTACGTGCATGTTAATCTGTGGAGAAAAACGGCACTGAGTAATGCGAGTATAAACGTAGCAGTTCTACTTGATCTGACATTATAAATTCATGAACTAAGCTTAGATTAAGACGTTGATGTTTAAACGTGATTTTGCATAAGGAGTGATTTTATTGGAGGGTGAGAAAAGCTGAACGACCAGCATTTAATAAATGCCTTTTAGTGGTAATAGTTTATCATTACCAGTCATGCAAAATATTAATTTAGTGTTGTGAAACGCTTTGAAATATCTTCCAGAAGTGAAAGGCACTATATTAATGTTAATTTTTAAATTGCAAGGCTTTCAGTAATA